TTCCATACATCTTAATAGATCACAAATGTTTGCTGCTCCTATTCGGGTCTCATTATTTTATTCTACAGAATATTTCCTTTATTCACCCAGGAATAATAAAGCAATACATTAATTGGTGGCAAGAGCTCCACTTGGAGCACCTAAAACAACTAGCTTATACGTATCACTGAGAAAGAGAAGCATCTACTTGGAGCCCAGGAAGTGAACCAGAAACTTCCCATAATCTCTTCTGCATGATCTGTCTTTATGTGTACTTCCAGTGTGAGTTACCAAGCAAGTAATTTTTCATTATGTAACTTAGTTTATTAATATGTGGATATGGGAGTCTATATGTCACACAAAACTGTCACCACTGTTGATGAAATTTTTGCTAATTTTAAACTTTAAAGAGTGTGTTGATTTTAAAGTCATAAAAGGGAAATTTTCAGGAGGAAGCTGGATGGATTTCTGTATCGAATGAGAGCAGGAATAGTAGAGAATGAACTGATGACCTTTCCAGTCTCCTCCAGTGTCTACTACATGATACCAAGCAACCACTGAACCATAAGTATAGAAATTTTAAGAAACATGGGCTGGGGATTTAGCTCAGCGGCACAGCACCTGCCTGGCAAGCGCAAGGTTGTGAGTTCGATTCGATTCCCGCTACTGGAAAAAGCAAAAAAAAAAGAAATTTTAAGAAACAAATATGATCCTATGCACAATTGTTATATACATGACTAACTCCAATGAATGTAACACATTTATTTAACTTTTAACTTGGCTCAGGAAAATAATTTACTGATTTCCATACTGTTAAATGTTTTTTAAAATATACCATATATAATTTGTAGTATCCAGAAGTTAAAATTTAAGATACCAGGACATAAAAATTATATTAGGCTAAATGTGCAATAAATTCACCATTACCCAAAGAAATGATGACATGAGAGTTAGGTATATGAAGTGAAATATCAAATAGGGTTCAAGTTACTTCTCTTTTATGGTACAGTTTCATGATGAGCCTTGTTTATTGATAAGTACTACTCTAAACAGTTTACATCTATTATCTATTTCACTCCTCATGTCTCTGTGACGAAAGTTATATGTCTCAAAGAGATTCAGCAACTTGTGGAAGGTAATTTAGCTAAAATGTAGCAGAGCAAAGGGTCTCCTACCTTGGGTACTTTCTCACTCCAAAGCCTTTCATCTGGTTCTCATCAAGACTTCCTTTTGCTTCCTTTTTCCCTTACTTGTAAGTAATACAGAAATTACTTCTGTGGCCAGAGACTATACCCTGAAATTGAGAGGAGGTCATCTGAAGCCTGCCTAGAAGATTATGGGAAACTAATTTGAGTTTTCAAATGTGAATCCAAAAAAGTTGGCAAGTCCTGAGAAAATAGGTATAGGCATGCTACTGCCATTGTAAATGGCTTCAATATTTCCAAAAGCTATCTGCTAATGGAATGAGAGCTATAATATTTTCCTTGCCCTTTGACTCAGTAATTTCAGTCTTTGGAATATACCCCAAGGAAATAACAGAAAAAGGTAATTTGTTCAAGATCTTCATTCAGGGGCTATTTGGGCAAAAATGGAAAGAACCAAAATTCCAAGTAATAGGACAATGACAAAGCAAACTAGGCTAGTAGAAAAAGAAAAGAAGAAAACTTTATAATCCTGCTGAATGACAAATGTAGAATGACGCTCACATGTGGACATATATGTAAGGAGCTACTTTATGTTTAAAACTAGAACACAAGGTAGTATAAACTTGTATAACCAAGTAACACAGTATACACATTAATCATAATATGACATTGTGAATTTATGAAGAAATATATTCTTTCAATGTTGAAACCCCAACACCAGAATAGGACCTGACATATATAGATTGTATTTAACATAAACTTTTTAATGAAAGCAAACTGAAGTTATATATTCAGATCTTGCTATAACAAGGAAGACAGCCACTACCTGCAGACTCAAAGTGGAGTCAGCAAGATTTACGGTGGAAAAAAGAAGAGTTTAGGCGTGCACTGGCTGGAGGTTGCTAGCATGGTGAAGCAGAAGGCCAGCTCACAAGAAGTAGGACATTTTAGGTAATTTTGGTTCAAAAACAGCTATTTGGCTTTCTCCCGCTGGGCCTGAGTTGGAAGTATGCATTGGTGAAGGGAGGAAGAGAAAAAGGAAGCTGGCAGTCATTGACCAGACCCTGACTGTCCTGGGATGATTGCTACTAAAATTGTGACTTAACTTTTGGGCTGGTTGCTAAAGCAAGTGTGTGTCTGACTTTTATCATCATATATGTTCACTGTCTACTTAGATTGCCAATCTCTTACTCTTTAGTTATGTATTTATTATGAAAGGATATAACTCAGGAACAGCCAGATGGAAAGATACGAGGAATGGGGGGAGTGGTGCAGAGTTTCTATCTCCTCTCTGAGGCTGCTATCCTAAGAGCATCTCTAGTAGTCAGCAACACAGAAGTTCCACTTAATAAAAAATTATGGGCTTAAATTATACAAAGGTAATTGTTTTTCACTGAGATTTGCCTGTGTTTCAGGTGTATTATGCTGCTGTCAGCAAAGGTTAATCTTTTATAAGGACCTACTATGTGCTCGTTGTTCTTCCAAGTTCTTTCACTCTATTCTCTCATATACTCTCTGCCAAGCCCTGCAAAGTGTTATTACTATCATATCTTCTCTAAGATGGGGAAACTGGGGCACAGAGAGGCAGAGTAACTTGCCCAAATTCACACAGACCAGGGCAGAGATGGGATTTCAAGCCAGATAGACTCATTGCACAACCATTATGCCATATTGTCTTCCTGTATTTGGGAGAAGTAGCTAAATTTTGTTCTGTCCCATTAACCATTTCTCTATTTCATTTTCTGTTTTTCCTCTTCACCATTCCTAATTTACAGCATGGAAAGTCCTTACTGGCAGGAGTCTTCCAAGAAGTGAAAGTAGAAGATTTTAAAATCAGGTCACAGAAGTATAGATAGAGACTAAAAGATAAAAATGCTTCTGTGGGATAACTGTAGAAAGGAAGGTTCACATTTGGATCAAAGAAATACTCAAACAAGGTTGATCGAAGATGTAAGTTACCTGGGATAAAGTGACAAATGTAAAAGACAATTTACAAATTCTTAGGGAAATGTTAAAAATAAAATTTATGTCTTGCACTTGCCTAACATCTTATATTTTACAAAGTACTTTTTATTTATGATATTATTTAATTTTCATGTCATACAGCAATAGATAATAGAGTTGACAGGTGAGGAAACTGAGATTAAGTGGCTCTCCACATGCAGCTGCTTGTCACTATTCAGCTCAGATTCTTGTTCTCAATAGAGTGAAACTCTATTGATGCTGTAAAATGCCCTATGCAAACTTTCCTTTTCAATCATTCAGACTCATAGAGTCCTATTATATAAGCAAAAGTGCACTGAGAAAGGTCGACAAAAAGCTAGCACGAATGGAATCAAACATAAAAGCTAAGTATATAATGGATTTACTTAATAAAAGAGGCAGAGCAAAAGCAGGATTGTCATGTAGATGTAAACTAAACTCTGGGGGCACGTTGTGGTTATGTATTGTTACATGCAGAATGACAAAAATACGAATTTTCCTATCTGTATCCTTATAAGAGGCACATTATCTCAGAGTTCTGTCAAGAATAATACATAAAATAAATTTTGCTTTATCTGTATTTTCCATGGAAATACTTTTACTATGAACGAGGTGGACTACATTTTTTTACATTTCTAAGTGCCCTCTCTTTTTTAGCTGGATCTGTCTGATGGAAGCCTTTTCTTGCTTCAGAAATCAGATCAAATACCACCACTTTCAAAAAACCCTTCAAAACATCCAAATAAGAATAACCCTCTCTTTCCTAAGGACTCACAGCATATTTCAGAACATCTCATTGTCTCCCACTTTGTGTAGTTCCTGGATGGCATACACATTTGGGATTTACCTTTTTGCCTCCTCTGACCCCAAGACCAGTGTTCCATACATTGCAATGGTTTGTTGAATCACTAAGAAATCATCTAATTGCAATCATGCTCTACGAGTTTATAAAATTTTAGTGGGATTTGGGCTGTTCCACTTCCACCATAAAAATGACCTTAATCAAGAATTTTCTTCATTAATAAAACTTATTTCCCTATAAACATATTTTTCTGACCTTCCATACCATAAATGCATTAATTTGGCAAAACAGCAAATGCACAGCTAGAAGGTTAAATTAAGGTTAAATTGAATTAATCCATAAGGATAAATTATCAAATACAAATATAGAAGTCATCAACTGTAAGAAAACTAATTAGAGATTTACTTTTACAACAAATTTTATAAATATTCAGCCAGATTCTACTCACTATTAAGCATTATTAGCTTCAAAGCCAGAACCTCAGCTATGTCAAGAGTCTCTCTTTCGATATAAGATGTAAACAAACTGCTATTGAAAGCACTTAAAATTTCACAGCAAAAAGTACATCACTTCTATCAAGGTCAACTGCTCTTCAGGGAGAGAAAATAATATTCTTTTTATTAGCAATTTAGAATAACAATTAAATAACATTCATTTAATTAAGGTTTTTATATAAGAACTGGGACAACAATTCTTCATTTTAGTTATAAAAACACAAGAGAAAGTGCTGAGTTTCTGAAACACAGCGATCTTCCTGTACTCCATCTTCCCTTGGGCCATGTGTAGTGGTGGTGTGATCCTCCTTTAAAACGCTTACTTACAAGAAAGATAAAGAGCAAGGAATAACAAGAATATGACTGAGGCTTGTAATGAAAAGCAAGCTTTAAAAAAGATGAAGTATTTATTTTCAATTATATCACATTCTATGAAATATAAAAAAACTCCCATTCCGTTTTGTATAACATAAGAGCTCTTTGATCCATGAATGGGCTAATCGAACAGCTATTCACATAATTGCTGTCTTTGCTGGGAGAGTAGCAGGCAATGATCAAAAAAGGAAAGTACAAGTCATGCAAGGGCAGAAATCTTACTTTCTCATCATCTTCAGAAAATGGAGCACCTTCAGGAATCTTATTTATCGCTTGTGCCACACCAATAATCTCACCATCACTGCTTCTGATAGGCATGCACAATAGTGATTTTGTCTTGTATCCTGTTAGCTTGTCAATTTCATCATTGAATCTTCTATCCTAAAAATAAGACAGAGAAAGCATTAATTGCAAGTACATTACTGTCAGGGAGGAGAAAGAAGTGGAGTTCTGCATTTGATGCTTTGTCACTGGGAACTTTTCCCTATAAATTTTTAATCCTAATAATAGATTTAACTTCATGTTTAATTTACCAACTGTTACTCTGGTAAATGAAGAAAAACACATCAAATTCAACTGCAACATATCAAAATTGAGGAAGGGAACCCCACACTATGCTATTTATTAAAATGTTATCTCATTAAGACAAATAAATATGAAATGTTATATCAGAAAAATACATAAGGAATTATGAAACACTATGAAAAATATTCAGAAAAGTACTATTTTATTTCTACTCAAAATTATGCTGTGGGGGAAAAAAAAGAATTTATGGGTTCACAGTAATATTTCAAAGTACTCTCAAAAAAGGGCAGGCAAGGGGGAGGTAAAAGATTTTTATGCAGAATGCCAGCATAAAAATATAGAATGAATGAGAAAATTATATAACATCTATTTTACAAGTACCAATGCAATAACGATTACAAGCGAGGATCATCAGTGCACACTGAAACCTTTGGGTAAAAGTTGTTGCTAAGCAGGATATTCAGAGTCTTCAAGTGCAATCTTATTAATAACAACGGTGTCTTCAATTACAAAAACACTCAGCCACCTTATCTTTAACAAAGGGGCCAAATATGTTCACTGGAAGAAAGACAGCCTCTTTAATAAACAGTACTAGAAAAACTGGCTCTCTACATGCTGAAGACTAAAACTAGACCCACATCTATCACCAGGCACTAAACCAAAGTCAAAATGGATCAAAGATCTAAATATTAAAAACAGAAACACTAAATCTACTGGAAGAGAAAGTTGGTAGAAATCTTGAAGACATAGGAGTAGGCAGAGAGTTCATGAACAAAAACCAAACTGCATGGGAAATACTTCACAGAATCACCAACTGGGATCTCATCTTACTGAAAAGATTTTGCACAATGAAAGAAATCAAAAAGAAAACCCACATACTGGGAAAAAATTTTAGCCAACTCTCCCTCAGACGAAGGACTTCTATCTAGAACATATAAAGAATTTTAAAAAGTCAGACCTCAAAATTCAAAGACACAATCCACAAATGGGCATCTGAGATGAATACACATTTCTCAGATGAAGAAATACAAATGGCAAATATATATGAAAAATGTTCAGCAACCTTAGTCATTAGAGAAATGCAAATTAAAACACACTGAGATTCCATCTCATCCCAGAAAGAATGGCTATCATCAAGAAATCAACCAATAACAAATGTTGGGGGGGCTGTGAAGAAAAAGGAACACTTCTCCACTGCTTGTGGGAGTGTAGACTGGTGAACCCACTGTGGAAATCAGTGTGGAGATTCCTCACAAAACTAGGATTAGAGGTCCCACTTAACCCAGCTAATCCCCTTCTGGGTATTTTTCCAGAAAAACTGAAAACATCATACCACAGTGACATATGTGCACCCATGTTTATAGCAGCACAATCTGTCATAGCTAAATCTTGGGAACAGCACAAATGCCCATCAACTGAGGAATGGATAAAAAAGATGTGGTACTTTTATACAATGGAGTATTACCCAGCTATAAAAAAAATAAACTTGAGGCTTTTATAGGTAAATGGACACAACTGGAGACCATACTCATAAGTGAAATAAATTGACCTGCACGCGTAAACGTCGTATTGTCTTCTTAATATAAGAACCTGAAAAGGTAAATAAAACCTGAAAGGTACAATAGATATTGTGAAAGGGAAGGAACAACTGGGATGAGGGAAAAGAGAAAAGAAAGAAAGAAGGAAGGGGAAAAATATATATGTATATACAAGATAGCTGGGATAATTGTACTGCTGATGTGTATTGGTTTATTGAAAGGAACAGTTAATGCTTAAATTTTTTGACCAATTTTGCATGTCTATATCTGGTAATCTGAACAACTAATTTGAAGATAACAAAATGTAACATAACAACCATTTTTGAATTCCTACCATCTTGTTTAGTGAAGCTCTGTATCATTTCTAGTGTTTGTTTTTTTTTTACTGCTTTTTATTCTCTTTAATTGTTTGATTAATCTTGCAACCTTATATCTGGTAATCTGAGCAATTTCATTGAAGATAACAATATGTAATATAACAACCACTGTTAATTCCCATTATCTTGTTTTGAAATTCTGTACTGTTTTTATTGTCTTTGTGTTGTTTTCTTGTTCTTATTTTGTTATTGTTTTTTCTCTTTACAATAAAAAACAATGGTGTCTTTATAATGAAGAGATCAGGCAGGTATCATCTTAAACAAATAATAAATTTAGTGCAATCATTAATAAGACAAAGATAACATCAATGTCTCCTGATGTGATGCCATGGGAAAGATACAACATTATCTTGAACAAGGAGTGTTCTTGCTAAATGCGCAACACACACCTAGTCTTTTGGAAAAACAAAATAAAGAAACAGGCACATCATTGTTCATTCTATCAGAAGCCTGACCAGGACACTTCAAAACTGTCAACACTGTGAAAAATTGAAAAATAAAAATAAAGCTATGGCAGCTTTTCTGGATTAAAGAAAACCTAAGAACCTTGAAATCCAAATAAAATATGTGATTCTTCACTGGACATTTTCAATATTCCATAAAGGATATTTTCCAGAGACAACTGGAGAAAGCTGAACATGAACTCAATGTTAAGTCGTATCTTTGCCTTCCTAACAACTTTCTCAGGTTTGATGTATTGTTGTCTTAATAAGACCTTCCTGAGGTTTGAAGGACAGAGGAGGGGCAAGAAGGAGGGAGAAAGGGAAAATATTGGTTCCTAGAAGAGCTCCAAGGTAGACTATCACCTGGCTCTGGCTGCTGCTTCAAGCCAGGGGCTGAAGTGAGGCTTCCCCCAAGCCCTCTCTAAGGATTCCACAACCATCTGTCAAAAGAGGCTTAAAACGCAAAAACCAAAGTAACACTGCTGTGGAACTAAGGACTTTATCTGAAGGCCTGAGAAGGGTTGCCTGTGCCTGTGGACAAAGTCATAGTCTCAAGACCAAATGAACACTGCAGCTGGCCACCTGCTGGCCCTCTGACTAGGTACGTAGCATCTCCAATGTCACAAGCACAGGAGTCCTTAAATGCCATAATTGGAACCAGGTCTGGTCTGGGGACCTATGGAGGTCACCCTAAACCCTCCATCAGAAGGGGAGACCTCAAAAGGAGAGACAAATCAAAGCCTAAACAAAACTAAATCTTTCAATCAAAATGTGTATGCAGCCGATGTTTTAGGAAAAGGCTTAATTGTATTAATTTTTTAAAAAATTCATCAGCAAACCATTATGTGGCTCAGGCTATGGGCTAGGAGACCCACCAGGAAACAAAAGAAGAATCATCCCTGCTTCATGGAATTTGCAATCCAGTAGGTGAGGCCCACACATATAAATGTGTAGTTATATACTGTGGTAAGTGACACTGAAGAAAAGAGGAAGGTGCATGAAAGAAGCAAATGATAGAAAGAACTTTCCTGACAGTGCATATGAAGGTCCTACAGCAGGAAAATACTTAGTTCAAAGACTTCTAGGTCAACGTAATAGAGCACTGAGAGCTCTGATGTAATTACTGAAGACTATGTGGGGCAGGGACCTAGTGCTGCCAAGTCTTACAGGCCTAGAAAGAATTTATATTTAATCATAAATGTATAAAACCATGGGAGATCTTGCAGGAGGATAATGGCATGATTCACTATCTAGCACTTAGTAGTATCTGAAATTGTCTTACTATATTGTTTGTTCTTCACCAAAATAGAATACAAGATCTCTTCCTGCAGAAATCTTGTCCCTCTTTTTTTATTGTTTCATCTTGGCATATTACAGATGCTCAATAATTTTTAATAACGTATTTTTCAGATTGTATTGCAATCATATTGAAAAATATGAATAAGTTGTTAAAGCCCCAAGATCCCATCTTTCTCTCCTTGGCATATATTTAGACATGTTTGTATACGTTTACAGAAGAGAGACACACAAATGTTACTGCAACATTAATTATGAAACTAAAAATTAGAAAATCACATGAATGTAGATCAAAAGAAAAATAAATAAGTAAATTATGACCTCTTGTTTTCCTGGCATACTTTACAAGTTAAATAAATAAACTGGAGCAACATGTATCATCAATATGAACAAATATCAAAAATGAGCTGCTGCTGGGCTGGGGATTTAGCTCAGCAGAACAGCACCTGCCTGGCAAGCGCGGGTCATGAGTTCGATTCCTGGTACCAGAAGAAAAACAAAAAAACAAACAAACAAAAAAGACAAAAATGAGCTGCCATCTAGTACTAATTATTGAATACTACTATATTAGTTTTTCGTCACTGGGACACAACACTTGACACTCACAATTTAAATAAGGACATGCTTAATTCACCTCACATTTTAAGTAGATTTACTCCATGGGTGGCTAGCACCAAGCCAAATCATCATACTGAAGGATGTGGTAGCACTGTACTGTTTAGTTCATGGTGGCCAGAAGCAGGAGCAGGAGAAGAGCTTCAGGAAGGAATAAGAGAGCAACCAGACACAGACCTGAAGGCCATGCCCCACGACACTCCCAGACACACCTAGAAGTATGTGCTACCCAATCCCAGGGCAGGGTCCAAAGCCAGTGAAGTTTAAACTCTGCCCTGTCTAGTATTTACTAATATTAGTAAATATTTAGAAGCAATACTAAATATTATTCATAGGTTCAAACACTGGGCAAAAGTATAAAAATACACACACGAGATAAATGCTAACTTCATATTAGTGGTTACCAGTGGAGAAGAAAGGAGGAAAAAGTATCAGGGAAAGGTATAGAAAAGGCTGCAACTTTTAACAAAGTTTTACTTCTTTATGAAAACAACCAAGGAGTGAAACGGTGGTTCTCTGGAGGTGCCCAAGGAGATTGACCTCTATTGGCATGGAAGCCCCCTGTCGGTCTTGCCCATGTCACACAT